CACCACCTCGCTCTCTTCTGTCTCCTGGATGCTCTCCTGCTCTCTCCTGCTCTCCCGGGAGCTGCCGTGCAGAAAGGTTCCGTTCCTCCCCGAAAAAGGCCCACATGGGAACCGGAATGTGCAGAGAGATGAAAAGGCAGCAGCTGCTGAGACAGCAGGCACGGAGGGGGCCCCTGAGTTGGGGGGGGAATCCTGGGGACAACTGGAGCCTGAATGGGCGAGGCGGGAGAGGGCCCCTGGGAAGGTGGAGATCTTGGAGGAGAGGAGAGAGGGCCAGAAGGGTGCACGAGACCATGGAGCTGGCACAGTGAGGTGGGAGCAGAGGCTGTGGGTGGTGATGGCCGGGGAGGATGGAGCCATGTGGGGAAGACAGTGGAAGCAGTGGGGGTGCACCGGGGGATGGATGAAGGAAGGGAGATGGGGGTGGAGGCTGGCGGAGCGATGAGGGCAGTGCAGGGCGGCATGGAGAGGTGGGAGCAGGCCGTGTGAGGCCGTTACTTACACGTGGATTGAGAGCGCCCGTCCTCTGTACAGACTGAATGCGCTGCCGTACAGGTCACTGGCCACCGAAAGGCTATCCTCTGACCCCCAGCTTGCGCCCACCAGATTAGCTCGAGACGCCCGCACCAGCGGCTCCACCCCCAGGTGCCGTGGCCCGGCCCCGGTTGCCTGTGCTTGCCTTGGGCTGCCTGGGAGGCGGCGGGTGCCACCCCTGCTGCCCGCTTCCAGCTCCAGGACCGTCTGCCCGCTGCCCCACCAGCTCACTTGCTCCTCAGAGGTGCCTGTCACGGAGGTCGGGGGTGTGTCCAGGGAGGTGCCCACCAGGGTGTCGGAGCCCCCTAGAGAAAGGAGCAGCACGGTGACGCTGAGGCCCCTCTTGTGGGAAGCCCGCCTGCCTGCTCTTTGAGCACCCCAGATAACTCACCCGTGGGGGTGCTGAAGGCCCCGTCATCCCGAAGCTCCAGGCGCTGGGTCCCCTGCACATCGCTGATGTCATCCTCGCCCGTCTCCGAGTCTGGAGAAGAAGGGGTCTGTGTGGGCAGGGCCCTCCTCCCTCTCACCCCAACTCTTCCCTGACACCTCCTGCCTCCCCCATAGCAGGGCTTCCTGCACCTCTCTTCTGGGCTCTTCTGCTCCCCACCTCCTCGGCTGCTCAGGGTAACCCTCCCACCTCAGTCCCCTGGCTCCTGGCCACTCTGGGCCCCTGGCTACTCAGCCCTGCCTCCTTGGTCCTGTCAAAGCTCCTCACTGTCCCCCTTCCCAGCCATTAATGAATTGCCATGGCAACCCCCTTGTCAGTGATAGCTTAAGTTCCCATGCAGCGCCCCCCCCAAATAATTAGGTCCTACTTTCCATGCTATAAATTTGGGTTCCAGGATCCCAGGAACAAAGGGGCGTCACCTCAGAGACGTACTGTCAGGACACTCGACCAACCGCAGGGCCAGCCTGTCCTCTACCCCAAACCAGCCGGAACATCAGGGTGCAGCTGAGGCGGGGTGAGGAGAGGCCGGGGTCGGGCGGGGTTGGGGGGGGAGTGCAGGGCTAGGGCAGGAGCCAGTTTCCTACCGTAACTTTGCTTTCTGCAGGAGCGGAAAACTTCGCTTCCATAGGAGCAGCAGGAGAGAGACATGGACAGACTGTTATCAGAGCGTTTGTGGGGCAGGGCATGTGGGCAAGCAAGATGGAGGGGCATGAGGGTACCCAGGGCCCAGAGGTGCCCTGTAGGCGGGAGACACTTGGGGTGCACGAAGCATGTCTCATTCTCAGCTGCCTGCAGGCCTCCACTGTTGCCCACCACTGGGGAGCCACAGGCTCGGGCTGGTTATTCCAACGACCCCAGTGACTCTGGACCCTTCGCACTTATACTGATGTGCCCACTGGCCACACATGTACTCACACACACCACTTGTGCCCGACCGAGCCACAGACCCAGCCCCCGGCCCCACGAGGGGTCAGACCCACCACCTAGTACAATATGTGCACTGGGCTTTAACTCCTTGCAATCCTCCCCATCTCTTCTGCATCTTGATGAGACATGTCCCCTCTCCTCAACCCCTGTCTTCTACTGCTGAATCGTCCTCAAGAATGCCCAATGTTAGGCTAGGGGCAAAATTCCCTGGGCACATGTTTAACTTTCCCAGAGTCTACTATGTTCTGTGCCTCAGTTTCCCTATGTGTGCCACGACAACCTATGTGCTGGCTGTCAGAACATGGCAGTGGATTCATCTGCGCTTAGTCCCACAAATGGAGACCAGGCCCACGGTGTGTTGTGCTAGGGACCCCCAATCCCCACAGGTCCTCTCAGTTGCAGGGAACAGGGTTCCTTTTTGGGTGAGAGCGTGAGTGGGGGGGGCGGGGGGGGACTGTGTTCTGGGTGTCTCATGAGGGGCCAAGGACCAAAAGGAAGAATGAGTGTGGGCTGGAGCAGGGAGCTCATAGTCCACGCACCATGGGTGAGTCGGCCAAAGGCCCGGCGGGAGTGGCCGGTTTTCTGAAAGAGAAAAGCCAGAAAGAGTGGTTGAGGGGAAGGGTCACTCCTGAAGTCCCTCTAACCTGGCAGACCTCTGCATCAAACAGAAACTCATTGCAGAGGCCAATGTGGGGCTGGGAAGGAGATGGCAGGGACCCCTGGGAAGCCAGCTGCCCGCACTGGGAATGTCTTTGCTCCTTCTTGCCTGTCAGTTCTCCTGGCTGGGGCTCCAGCTTGGCTCTGGTCGGAGCCTGGGAGGAAGGAGGGAGAGGACAGCACGACTGTGTGGGTCAAGTGCAGGGATTCCTGATGGACAGAGGTTCATAGGATGGGGGCCTGAGCCACACTGCCAAGGACTGAGTCTCCATAGGCAGCTGACTGAGGTGAAGAAAGTGGTGGTGGTGCCCGGATGACTGAGACTGAGAGATGGAGGGACAAGGACACTGAATCCTGCTGGGGAAGGACAGATACCTGGGAAAGGTGTCAAGCTGGCGGGCGGGGAGAGTGATGGGGGACAGAGGGCAGGGTGCCCCAAAGGGCCAGGAATGCAGGCTGGAGGCCGGGCATTCGGGCATTCAGGTATTCGGAGGACAGGGCAGGGCTGGGGGGGGGGGGGGGAGGATGTAGTGAGCTCGGCGCAGATCTCTGTGCGTTGCTTTCAAGAGCTCCGGAAGATGGAAGGCTCCAGATTGGGGGGTTGGGGAAAGCCGGCCCGGGCAAGGGTTGGACAGAGGCGAGAGGAGAGGGGCTGGCTGGCAAAGGAGCCGAAGGGCGCTCCTTGCCGAAGGATGCCGCGGGGGCTTCGGAGGTGATCGCAGGGACTGCGGGCTCCGGGGGGTCTGCCCTTGGGCATGGGGAGGGGCCTGCGAGCCCAGGAAGCTGGCCCGGAGCCCCTCGGTGTGCCTGACCCCCGGCCCCGGGTGCCCGGGGTGGGGTAGGAACGGCTCCAGCGCCCCCTCCCCAGGACCTGGGCGCGGTGACCCGCCCTCCCTCCGGGGCGCCCAGCCCTCCCGGTCCCCTCCCGGCGCCGCCCGCCCCCGGAGCCCTCACCTGGAAACGCTTCTTCACCCACAGCTTCTTCATGGCGGGGGAGGGGGCCGGGCCCGCGGCCGGGCGAGGAGGGGACGGGCGGGGGCGGGGCGGAGTCGGAGTCGGAGGCGGGGCTGGGGGCCAGCCCGGGAGCGGGCGGGAGCGGGCGCCGGTGGCGGAAGGAGCCTCGGGGCCGCGGGAGCCCAGGCGGGGGTAAGGCGGTGGCGGCGGCGGCGCCCGGAGCCCGCCCCTCCCCCGCCAGCCTGCACCCCACCTGGCGCCCCTTCCCTAGCCTGTGCCTCTGGGGGGGCGCTCACCTGCCTTCCTCACCCCCACCCCTCTTCTGCTTCCCGGGCCCTGGGCACATGGGGAAACTGAGGCACAGAAAGGGGCGCAGGAGCCTCAATGAGAGTTGGGGCGCTCTCATTGGCAGCCCATAACGGCCTCGCCACCCCCACCCGCCTCCCGCGGGGCGGCTCTGGAAGGTCGGCCCGCAGCTCCACTCCTCACTCTGCAAACACGCGCACAGTCTGGCCAGTACCCAACCCGCTGGGGGACACGCTGGGGGTGCCTGGCCCCACACAGGGCAAGGGTCCCGGGGTGGGGCCTCTGAGGTGACCGGGACCCAGACTGCCACTTTCTTGATGGTAGACACTGTCCTGCACCCTGGCATAGGCGGCCAGCGAAGGCGTCCAGAGCTACTTTTGTTATTCACCAATGTGACCCACCTCACTCCCAGGTGAGCACAGTCCCAGCACCATCACCCTCCCAGCAGCACCGTGCACATTTGGTCCACACAGCAGTAACATGTTCTTGCCCCACACCCATCTTCCCAACTAAGATTTTTTTTTAGCATTTACTAAGTTCCAGACACTTTATAAATGTCACCTCATTCATGACAATCTGGAGAGCTTGAAACCCTACGGACATTTAGCTGGCTCCACTTAACTGACAAGCCACAGGGTTCAGACAAGTCCTGCAACTCAGCCAAAGTCGCACAGGCTCTGCGTCTTTGTACTCCAGATGCACATCGTCCCCCCAACTGACCCCAGATGGCCCACTTTTTTTCACCATAATTGGGCAGCTGTGCCCCCTGTCACTTCCCCAAACCCCACCTGCAAAGCAGGTAGTGTCAGCCCTGGCTTCTGAGATGCATCTATTAAGTAATTAGCAGTAACAGGGTGTTGCATGGTGCACCACCGCTGTGCTAAACACTTGATACAGTGAAGCCAGTGATTTAGTCCTCACCAGGGTGGGGGGGAGACTGAGGCACAGAGAGGTTACTTGCCCAAGGTCACACAGTCAGTAATGGGGAAAGCCTACCGCAGACACTGTGACTGAGTTATTCACCCCTACACCACAAAATTTCACCTCCTGACTGGCCCATGGACCCCCTACATTTATTTCTTTAAAGCATGGTGGAAAATAAATACAGAGCCAGCTGGCGAGTTTAGTTCAGCCTGCACAATATTTTAGGTGGGGCAAGCACGCACGAATTCAGCTTTGCTGACAACTGTTCATTTTCTACTTGCCTCCTGGGGGTCTTTGAGTTTATAGCCTTTTTATTTCAGTGCCTCAGGTCATGTCTATGGGTACACAGTCATGATCCTCTTTCCCGGACCCCCCGGGGGCATGTGGCACGTGCAGACACATGTGTGAACAGCTCTAAGAGGCGCGTTCCAGCCAGAAGACCCAGGCCCTGGTTACCCACAGGCACAACCCTGCCCAACCCCAACACGCCTACTCACAGGTGGGGAGCTGAGTGAGGAGAGGGGTAACTTGAGCCCCTGTTCCCCTGGAGAATCCGAGGGGCTGGCACATTCCGTAGCAAAAATAACCAATGGGTAGCAAGCATGAGTGACGGGACAGCTGGCGCAGAGAGGCCTGTGGGATTGTGTGTTCCTGCTCAGGGCTGTGCTGCTCTGCCCCTGGGCTGGCCTGGGGCACCTCTCACCTCTCCCTGCCTGGGGCCTCCCCCAGCTGCTCCAGATTGCCCCCCCCTTTTTTCTCCCTCTGATTGGGCAGCTGTGGCCCTGTCATTTCCTCAAACCCAGACTTCCAATTTCTGCCCCATTTTGCATTTTCCCTTAATCAGAGGAAACTCAAGCTATGGTGCTTTATGCTGTCCCTCCTCAGGGCTAGATGCACCACGCCTCTCTGTCTCCTCTCCTGCGCGGGTTCAGTTTCTCGCTTTTCCCCTCTGGATGACCCTACCCTGTATTTCTGACATGTGATTAAGTATTAATTATGTACTAGGCTTATTGCATTTGGTACTAGAAAGTACCCGTAGGAGGTTAGACATCTTGGCCTCCCCACCCTCTAAGCACACAGGGCAGTGACCGGCTTCAAGTGGGCGATGGGTCAGTATGGTGGCCAAGGCGGGATGGAAGGGGATGACAGCGGTGGGGATGGGGAAAGGGAAATTCCTGGAATAGCTCATTCATCCTGCTTTCCTCCCTCACTAAGTCAGGACCCAGACCCTTTGCTAACAACAGCTGGAACATGTCACATCGCTAGTCTCTGTCCAGGAGGGCCTGACCTGGTTTCAGCGAAGTGCTTCCCGCATGGGCGCTGGCTACATGGGGGCTCTCTGCTCCCCCCTCTTCCCTCCCAGGACTCTCACTGCCCCACTCTGGCTCCTCCTCCGTCGCTGTTCAGAACTTGGCATGAATGGATAGTCTTTCTCTAGCCCTTCTCAACTCATCACTACTTTCCCCCTGGTTTTTCGCCCAGCTTCAAGTTCCAGGGGAAAAAGTCGATAACTGCAGAATATACCTCCCCCAGGTTTTGGTATGCCTCGCCTTTCCTTTGCCTAAGTTGACCCTCTCTCCCTACCTTTGAGTGCACCTCTCCATGCCCAGGGTCCCCAGCATGGTTCACTGCCATCTGTTCACTTTCAGCTCTGATTGGCACCAGCGCCTTCCAGACCCTGGCTCTGAAACTTCCAGCTAACACACACGGTCAATTGTCAGTTTGCTCCTTCTCCAGGCTGACCCTCTCCCCCTACGCTCCAGCTTCTAGTGCAGGCTTTCCGCTCCAGCCACCCATGCGCAAGCTTTGAGGGTGGCACTTACTTGCTGTGTCACTTGATTTGCACAAGGCTCTCAGCCCGTGCAGGTGGGAGCCTAATGTTCTGAAAGAGAAGCATGCCTGCTATTTTGGAGACTGGGCCAGGAGACAGCTTGGGCAATATTGACAGATCCCTGTTTTAGTCTTCCCAGGTTTCTCCTTCTGCAAACAGACAATGTGGACCAACCCAGCTTTTCAGATCAGATCTACTATTTCACTAGTCATGTGACCTTGGGCAAATTCCTTCTTTGAATGTGTTGTATGTACACACGTTATATCAGTAACCTGGGAGCTTAGAAGATTAAGTAATTAAATGAGATAGGGTACATCATATGTTAAGGATTGTACAAAATACTGCATGTCTGCCAATTTCATCATTCCTATCCTTTCCTCTTCTCAGTAACTCCAAGTCCCGTTCTGGTTCCCATGCCCCAAACTCTCTAGTCTGCAACTCGCTCCTCTTTTCATGGAACCAAAGCCATGCCAATGTTCCTCCACCCTTGAGCAAGCATTTCAGGCTTCAGGAGTGCCAGGAACCTTAGCATCAACCCCTCTCACCGAGCCAGACAATAGTCCCAGCCAGGAGACGGCCTCCGTCCCTCTGCATCCAGATCCTGGCTAGGCTTCCTCGAGAACCCAGAAATCCTCCTGCGATAGAGACCCTAACCTAGAACATTTCCACGAGTAAGTCTGAGAGATATTGAGCTGCCTTCTGTAGTACAGCAGGATATTTAATGTCTCTGAGCCTCAGTTTCCCTAGGGCTGCTAGGGATATATCAAGGTTGCTTAAATGATATAGGAAAGGACATCATTAGCATATTACCTGCCACACAGCAGACATAGTAGCGAGTCATTATACATTAGTAAGAATTATTACCAGTTAATACTATTTATAAGGCTGGTATTGAGGTGATGCTTTTACTGGTATGAAAAGTTCTCAAATATGATTTGTTGCAACATAACCCTCTTCCCCTTTTGAAAAGACTGTCAAAAGATTCCAAACCCAAGCCCATAGCGCCCAGAGTCCCATCCTCAGCCCAAGCCTCTCAAACATACAGTCCTACCTGCCTCTAGGTGTGCCCAGCCAAGGTTCAGCTTTGCCAACCATGCCCTCCAGATTACAGAGTGCCTCAGGAAGCACTCTGCAGGGGTGCCACTGGGGGGCTCTAGAACTGTCACTGTCTCCATTTGGGGGCACAGGGCAGGCTAGGAGGCCCTGGTTATTAGAAAGGTTATTATGGGCTATTCTCCATAAATGTCCCTCCTCCAGAAGTTCTTGAGTCATTAAAAAGCCCCCTGAGGGCCCTCCCTGATGCCACAGAGGGTTAAAACACAGCACCAAGAAGCTAAAGCCACTACCGCATGAGTTCGATCCTGACCCGGAGGTGACCCACATGGTGCAGCAGACCTCTCCTGACCCACCCTCTGCTCCCCTCAGCAGTGTGCTTCGTCAGTCAGCCTGTTCTGCTCCCCGCTCTGTCTCTGGTGAAGTCTCTCACTGCCCTTGTACCTCTGGCTTGTACCCAGTTCTGTATGAATAAATAAATAAATCTTTAAAAAAAAAAAAGCCCTCTGAAACAACAAAGGTTGTTGAGGTTGTGGAGAAAACAGAACCATGTACACTGATGATTGGAATGTAAACTGGTCCAGCCTCTATGGAAAACAGTAGAGCGGTATTTCAAAATACTGAAAGTGGATCTACCAAATGACCCAGCAATTCCACTTCTAGATTATCTGCCCAAGGAATACAAAAACGTGCACTAAAAGGGATCTATGTACTCCACTGTTCACTGCAGCCCTATTTACAGCAGCTAAGTTATAGAAACAGCCAAAGTGCCCAGGGACAGAGTTCTGAGTCAGAGGAATGTGGTGTCTGTACACAGTGGAAGACTCAAACATAGATAAAACAAAATGAATTCCTGTCATTGGCGACCACAAGGATGAGCCTTGAGGGACAAGGCTGAGCAGAGTAAGTCAGAAGGAGAAAGACAAATACCTGATAGTCTCACTTACACATGGAATACA